ACGGAACCATCACATTAACATATCAGAAGAAGCAAGCGCCACAGTTTTGCTACATCATATCTGAATGAGATAATCAACTGTGTATGCCTTTATAATTCAAGCTTGGACCATAATGCAATCCCACAATGAATTTCCATGTCATTATTGGACGAAATAAAATTGAAATGAATTGAACTGAGTTACGATTACATGAACGCTAATGAAGTTTGGCACATAGTCGTATTTGGAAGGATTTATGAAGGAGTTATACACCCTGGGAAGTTGTTTTTAGGTTGTTCAAGGCTGTAAGCTTTTAAGGGACCAGAAATTTCTACCAGGCACTACATTGTTCTGAAGATGAAAAAGCCATATTTAAAAGGAAGGTATTAAAAGGTTACAGCATTCTACAGTGATTAGCCCCAAAAAGCAGCGGTTTTGCCATGTCATATCAAAACAAGGGCCTTTTCGTGTTGTACCAATTAAAAACATCATCACAATCATCTAAATCTACGTCACCATTATCATCTAAAACCACATCACCATCACCTAAAACCACATCACATCATCATCTAAAACCATGTCACTTACATCATCTAAAACCACGTCACCATCATCTAAAACCACGTCCCAATCATCATCATATATAACCACATCCCCATCATCATCATCTAAAACCACGTCACCATCATCATCTAAAACCACGTCCCCATCATCATCATATATAACCACATCCCCATCAACATCATCTAAAACCACGTCACCATCATCATCTAAAACCACGTCCCCATCATCATCATATATAACCACATGCCCATCATCATCATATATAACCACATCCCCATCATCATCATCCAAAACCACGTCACCATCATCATCTAAAACCACGTCCCAATTATCATCTAAAACCATATCCCATCATCCTGTAAAACCACGTCACCATTATCATCTAAAACCACATCACCATCACCTAAAACCACATCACATCATCATCTAAAACCACGTCACCATCATCTAAAACCACGTCCCAATCATCATCATATATAACCACATCCCCATCATCATCTAAAACCACGTCACCATCATCACCTAAAACCATGTCACCATCATCATATATAACCAAATCCCCATCATCATCATCTAAAACCACGTCACCATCATCATCTAAAACCACGTCCCCATCATCATATATATAACCACATCCCCATCAACATCATCTAAAACCACGTCACCATCATCATCTAAAACCATGTCACTTACATCATCTAAAACCATGTCACTTACATCATCTAAAACCACGTCCCAATCATCATCTTAAACCACGTCCCAATCATCATCTTAAACCACGTCCCAATCATCATATATATAACCACATCCCCATCATCATCATCTTAAACCACGTCCCAATCATCATCTTAAACCACGTCCCCGTCATCATATATATAACCACATCCCCATCAACATCATCTAAAACCACGTCACCATCATCATATATGACCACGTCCCAATCATCATCATCTAAAACCACGTCCCATCATCATCTAAAACCACGTCCCCGTCATCATATATATAACCACATCCCCATCAACATCATCTAAAACCACGTCACCATCATCATATATGACCACGTCCCAATCATCATCATCTAAAACCACGTCCCATCATCATCTAAAACCACGTCCCAATCATCATCATATATAACCACATCCCCATCAACATCATCTAAAACCACGTCCCAATCATCATCATAATTATATAACCACATGCCCATCATCATCATCTAAAACCACGTCCCATCATCTAAAACCACGTCCCAATCATCATTATATATAACCACATGCCCATCATCATCATCTAAAACCACGTCCCAATCATCATCATATATAACCACATCCCCTCAACATCATCTAAAACCACGTCCCAATCATCATCATATATAACCACATGCCCATCATCATCTAAAACCACGTCCCATCATCATCTAAACCCACGTCCCAATCATCATCATATATAACCACATGCCCATCATCATCATCTAAAACCACGTCCCATCATCCTGTAAAACCATGTCCTCATCATCTTACCATTATCTTAAAAGGGGAAGTCCACCCTAATAGTAAGTTGTTTTTAATTTTGTGGGGGGAGGTATTTGTCCCCTGGGGGGTCATTGTCGAAGGGAGGGGTGTGATTGTCCAATGGGATGATTTTCAGGGAGGGGGTACTCAATTGCATTCCTGTTGGTAATTGGCCGGGGTGTGATTGTGAAGGGGGTAATTTTCCTAGAACCGAATTTCGTGTTCAAAGTCAATAGGATGACGGATCCGCCACTAGCATAAAGTGGCTCTATACACAACCCTTACCCTAACCCCAACCCTAAGCTTTGAATACCTGTTTGCTCTACAGAATTAGAGTTACATTTATAGGCAAATATAATTTTATTTATTTGCCCATCTACATTCCTTTCAAATAAAACTCCCATGCATGACTAAAATGCAAAACAAGGACTAAAATGCAAAACAAAGAATTTACAGTATTAGTTTAGCAACATTTATTGAATAAGCCCATTACTTCTAGGTTTACAATTCAACTTCAAAATGTCTTCATTATTTATGAGGCCATGTTTCTTTCAAGCACTTCTTCTCTTTACCATATTTGTATTTGTCTGATAAAACAAGGAAAAAATTAATAAGAAGTACAAACATAAATCATTAGATATTCCTTTATCAGATTTTGATGTGTGTGTCTCTTCGGGCATAGCATCATGCCAACTGATAGACAAAGAGTGATTATGAGAACAAAATCTCACATACTTAATCACAATAAACCTGAAACAAATTAAAAGCAAACACAGGCCTCCCTTTAGGGAACATCGATAAATGAAGTGAAGAAATACATGGAGTAATACCGGTATTCATTTCATACATTTTTCACATTGATTTCATTAATCAGTTATAAATACCAACATTTCTGTTTTTACCATTATTGAAATAAATAAGGTGATAGCTTCGGAGTGATTATGGTATATGACAGTATCCTGATGTATTATTTAGCTTCAAGTAACCCAGCAAATAAATTGTTCCAAAGTATTTTTATTTATTATATTTATCTATTATTTTGAAGCCTGTAAAATGTTGTAATATATTATATTGTATTGATTTTGTCAGTTTTGTATGTGCAGTAAGCCTGAATAAAGAGAAGTTCGAAGTGTACGGTAAGGTTGCATCAGGAAAAAAGTCAAAAGAAATTGCAAAATACAATACTTTTGTTCAATGATACTGAATATTAAGGAGGAAAGTCAAAGTTAAGAGGGCACCAACTGATTATTGTTATTTTAGCATTAATTTCAAGCATATTTAGTGAAGTATATTCATATAGTAGTTGTGCTACATCAATACATCCTATATCCTACCCTTCAATTATATTATATTCTTGATGGAATTTAAAGAGGTTTTAAAGATAAAGCACATGCACCTTTTGTACATGTATTTCATGTTTACAATCACTGGAATTAAGACACAAGGCTTAATGTCGCAATTATTTGGTTGACTTTTTCTGTACCTTGTGTTTGAGTGGTTGCATTATCTGAACTTCATCATTTTTATCTGATTTGTGATGTATCTTCTTGGCCAAATGAAATACACTACTACTGCCACTAATACTACTACTGGTCAATAAAAAACAATGAACATTTTTTAATTTAATAAAGAATATTACAGACATTGTAATAAATATCTGCAAGTTAATGATGTGATTCATAAAATACAGAAAGGTAAATAGCTTGGTTACAGAATAAACAAAAAATAACCTTTCATGTCATTCCGTAACAAACCTCTATATAATCTAAATGTTTCATGAATTTGAAGAGAAACGAAAATAAGAAAAACAACAACAAGGTCAAAAACAAGAAGAAAAAGAAGCTGGCGTTCTTGAAGTCATGAAAATAATTATTTGAGAGTACAATACTCTCATTCTTTGAATGTGAGTTCAGAAGAATATCATAGAAGAAATGATCCCTGCAAAAATGGTTGCTCTTCCAAAGCCCTCATATTCAAAATATGATGAGAAATAACTGAACAATTTGGACCAAACTTCCATGCCAATATGAGTGAAAACTGTGTAGTCCCATATAACACATCTCTGTGTGCAGTGCTTGTGATTTTTCAACAAGATTGAATCAATTTCTTCTCATGTTGATCATTCCAAAAACCCACATTATATACAGGTACTACACAATCAACCTTTTCCAAATAACTTCCAGTCTCTTTCTGCATGACCAATACTAACCCTTATCTCTAAGTGAGAATTGAATCCCATATCAGTTAAAGACCATGCAGTGTTTAAACACAATGTTCTGGTTTGTTCAGTACACAAATAATAATTGACGGTAGTAATAATCTCAGTAGATGAATAAAAATAACTAAAATATGCAGCGTGGCACCTCCTTATGCTGGTCACTAATGGTGACAAAAGTGATGCGGTTTGCAATTTTCTCTTTCAACCAACCCCCAAATTCAGATGTACTGCATATCCCCATATCGTTTAATCATAACATATGAGGTATTACTGCAAAGGATGAAGAGACTTACAAAATGACGACCAATACAATTATAATAAGAGAAATATGAGTTTCGCAATTCCTTTTTGGCAGGTTCTTGTCAAACCGTATTTTCTTTTGTCACCATAATAGTCATTTACTGAAGAGCATGATATATTTGCTGTGAAGGACTTCATCAAGTGTGAAACACACAAGGCCATGTAAGAATGTACTGGGGAGCAAAAGCATAGCCTCTTCTTATTTCTTCTTGCCCCCCGTTGGCTGTCCAATGTCCTTGCCTCTTAGCTTTACACCTAAAACAACAGAGAATAGCACATAATAAAAATAAATTTTCTCATAGAAAACTAAGACAATCTTTCAATGTAGTATGACATTGTGTGAATATAAAATTGAGTTTGCTCTTGAAAGTTCCATGGCTGCATGCTATCATAAATGGATCAAAGACTTATAAGCTTATGTGCATGCTGTCAATATATACATGTTTATTGTAAAATGCATTTATGATAATACCTATCAAACTCTAGGAATGATAAGTACCTGGAGAAACTTTGATGCTTTTGTATACTACACTTCCATTATTTGGCAAAACAATGCATGTCATTTTTTAGTTTTAACATATTTGTCTTTATATTAGTGTAATCTTACTTCCAATCAAATCTTGAAACCCAAACTCACCAAGTTACTACCGTAACTGTACGGTGTACACCAACGCAAGTATAAAACAAATTAGCATATATAGTTTAAGCACGATTTGGGCACAAATCATACGCTTGGTGCACCCAGCAAAACAATGTGTGCTGGAAATTATTCAAATTATTAAAATAATTTAAATATGTGGGGCTTTACTAAAGTGATCCCTGCCATCATTTTCAGCAAGAATATGAAACATTCAACGAAGCTACAAAAAGAACTGTATTTTAATACAAATGTAAGCTGAGTTTCTGGAAAAGAGTCTAAGTGTTAATACACTGTTTTGCCATCTAACGGCTGTCCCTTCCCCAAACCAAAATATTTGGTCTTTTTATGAAAAATTTAGATTAAAAGTAGAAAATAAAAACTTACCAAGAACTCTTTCTATCTTTGCCAAAACCTGATTATTGGTGACTGCTTTTCCAGACTCGTATTCATTGATTACTTGCTGCTTCTCATTGATTTTCTGTTGGAGTAAAAAATATATTGGTATGAAAGGTGAACTTGTGATTCAAGGCATAGTTAGCCTTCAGACAAGGCCTCATGTCTGATAGACGCTGAGTGACTAAAAAGAGACTGAAAGCGCAAAACCCAAGTGAACGCTAGAGCGAGTGGCGTCATCCAAGAGGCCGTTAGTAATCTGGCTTGGATTTCTTATGTCAACCTTTGTTTGATAGGACTTCTCTACCAAAATGGTAGCATCCAATCAACGAACATATCATCGCGTGACGTCAGCATATATTATCCAGCACCCACACACACAGTAAACTCTACGTAGTCCGAATGACGTACGGACTAAAACCACTGACCTCTACAGTAGCTAAAACAAAAAACGAAAATACAAGGAAAGTCCAATTATCTCACTTAAATGATTGTCAGCTTAAGTCATCAAATGCTTTCATTTTATTGTAATTTTGCATGTAAAATAGATTTGATATTTTGCATTTATCTTTATATGTTCATCTCATATAAGCAAAACTTATTTAAGTATTTTACCTTTTCTTACATGTAATGATTCAATAATGAACGAATCATGAACAAAGCCAACAGGGGGCTGTTTCATGAAACCAACTCCATGACAGTCATATCTTTGTCGGCGACCTACAGAGATGTCATGAAGTGGATAAACCATTTCACAAAGCCATGACAGACATGATATCGATATATCGCGATACTAGCAGCTCAAGAACAAAGTCTTTGTCACGTTCCATTTTATTTATCACGAATAACCCAAAACAAGTTTTGGGGCTAAAATTATTCAAAAAGGAACATATACATATAAACTCTCCTAAAATAAATAACAAGTAGTGTCATTATCAAATGTAGATCATCAAACGATTTGCATATTTCTGTAAAGATTCTTAAATTGAAGAAAAACCGGTGAGTGTTTTATTCTCGACAATCCAATCAAAAGGTAGTTGAAGGATACTATAATGTGATAGTTTATCAATACATACTTTTTTTGTTTATTGTGAGGAGGAATTTTAGGCAAAATACCTTTTCTCAGCCAGTTTTTATTCTAGAGTCTCATAAATACTTGTTATATAATTGATTTGATATTGAAAATATAATTTGGAAGAAGTAATTAGAGAGGGAATAATAATGCACATAGGCCCCAAAGGTATGATGGTATCCTAAGAAAAGACTATAGATCGACTATGGACAACGGTGTGTAACATTCTTATCTCTTTTATTTATATGTTATAGTTTAACGATTTGTGATTTAATGTTTATATTCAGCTTTTTAAAATTTCTGTATAATTTGTACTATCACTTCTTTACATTTGCATTTCGCATCCCAGAGAATTACGTACCAAACTCGTGTATATTTTTCTCAAAATGATAGTGAAACTAATCATACATTTTGCGGCCCATGGAATAGCAACAAACTGACTTGTGATGGCACTTTACAGCAATTAAAAAGATATGACAGGTTCGGAGCAGTGACAACTCATTGTCGCGGAAGTTGCCGCTCATCTTGGCAAAGACGGCTTCGTGAAACACTTAGCTGACAAGTTGCGTGACAGTGTCGAGATGTCGTTGATCTTGTTGTTATAAAGGTTTCAAGAAACGGGCCCCTGGGAGATGGTCGTTCTGATGGGTCAATAAATCCAAAGTTATGAATAATTCATGCAGAGCAGCAAAAGCCAGAATCCAAAAGGCCTCCTGGCTAACGCCACTCGATCGCGCGTTCACCCCAGGTCTCTATATCTCTCTTCGTCACTGACTAGACTCATCTCAGCCGCTGATTGGCGTGGAAAATAGACCGAGTCACAAGGCCTTGTCAAAAGGCTAAGGCATAGTGGGATCCAAAAAATCAAAGTTACTGATTTTTATTTGTTCATAATTTGCAAAAACAAGTACATGTTGCATTTTGCTGAGGAACAAACCCTATATTTCATGATTACAAACTTCATGTATATGCATGTGTGCATGTGTGCATGATGTGCAGAAAATATTTGCAATAGATCCCACTATGCCTTAGCCTTTTGAAGTTTGTAATCATGAAATATAGGGTTGGTTCCTCAGCAAAATGCAACATGTACTTGTTTTTGCAAATTATAAACAAATAAAAATCAGGATCTTTGATTTGTTAGTGAACTCTTGCTTATTACATTGAAATGATATTTTTTTATTTTTTTATTTCTCCATGAAATGATTGTGACAATATACATGTAATTGCATTGAAGTCCTCCACTTATGCCTCGTTTTCTTTTATGTTCTGAATTCTTCTTCTTCTTCTTCATCTTTCACTAGGTTTGCATGTAGTGCTTGTGAGCCCTATCTACATGTAGGTCCCTTCCACCATCCCTATTCCCTCAAAATTTTGTACGCATAATTTCCAGCATCCCATCAAGATCACTGGACACTGTTCCAAAATTACCCATGCTTGACCATCTGGGCGCCATTTTGTCCGTTTCTGCCTACCTATTTCCACTATTCTACTTTTTACAAAGTCCTCTAGATATCCAAGAGATGCTCTTTCATCTGCAATGTATAACCTAAATTTAAATCCAAAATTGACTCCACACAAAATAGCTAACATTTGTGGATACAGTACATGATGAAAATGATTTTCTATTGTAAAAAAGATGAATGGTAGATTAAACATTCATTTTCAAACATTGATAACTTACAGTGGCCAGTTCCTTTTGGGTGAGATTTTTGTCTTGCCTGCCTCGCTGCATAACCTTGCCTACATCCAAACTCACATGCTCATCTGTAGAAAGAAACAAAAATAAAAGTAAAAAAACATATTGGGTCGCAAAACTGTACAATTTGCATTTTGGCTGTTGGAATTCAATACCCTGTACCAAGTGCATGTTATCATAGAGCAAAGTAAACACAAATTCAAATGCAATAAAATTTGCCTCTTATTATACATCAAGAAACTTTCACTGTATCTTTTCAATTTCTACTGAAATTAAAGACCAACTTGATGTCAGGATTAACTTTCCTTTAAAAAAACAAAATAATAAAACATAAATAAATCAATAGAACAGCAATGAAATACAAGCTGAACTAATTTTAGAACATCTCTCAAAAAACCAAATACATGAAATACATACGATGAAGTTCCTCAGTCTCTCGATCTAACTTGGCAGTATTTTTAGATGCAGACTTCTGTTTGTTAGTCCCAGCTGAAACTGTATAGAATAGAATGGAATAAATGGGAGAGTTACTAGATCTACATTGCATTTGGAAATCATTGTCTTCCTCAATATCAATATTTATAATAAAAATATTGTTGACAGTGACATGTTGTCACATAGGTGGCTAAAAATAATAATAATACTTTAATATTTTTGTATTGTGCATAACACTTTTATAAGCATGTATTCCACTGAAAACCACTGGATTTGGGACTTGATAGGTACAGTATGAGTCAAAATAAACTAACCCCCCTAACGCGTGTAACGTTTGCAATACGTTAATTATATATTTAACGTTTGTAGGCGTTACCCGTTAGACGTTAGCGTTACCCGTTAGTTTTGTTAGTTTTGTTAGTTTTGTTAGTTTTGTTAGATGATGTTCTAAAATTGACCGAACGAAGGAACGATATATGCGCTTCAAGAAAATGATGCCTAAAATATCTGAAACATCGTAATTATCATCTCAAAATACGAGCACGAGTATGTTCAAAATTAAATACGATGAAACAATGCCAAACTAATTTGAAACATCCTTATTATCGTCTCAAAATTAGGGAATGAAGTTACGATATGTGCTTCGAGATAATGATGCCTAAAATATCTGAAACATCGTAATTATCTTCTAAAATTGACCGAAAGGAGGAACGATATATGCGCTTCAATAAAACGATGCCTAAAATATCTGAAACATCGTACTTATCATCTCAAAATACGAGCACGAGTATATTCAAAATTATTTACGATAAAACAATGCCAAACTAATCTGAAACATCCTAATTATCTTCTCAAAATTAGCGAACGAAGTTACGATATGTGCTTCGAGAAAATGATGCCTAAAATATCTGAAACATCGTAATTATCATCTGAAGATACGAGTATATTCAAAGGTATTTACGATAAAACAAAGCCAAACTAATCTGAACATCCTAATAATCTTCTCAAAATTTAGTAGCGAACGAATTAACGATATGCGCTTCGAGAAATTGATGCCTAAAATGTCTGAAACCATGCCCCAAACGTCGAGTCTACCCTTTATCCTATTAAGTCCCTGCTTACTCGGGCTTCAGGACATCACTTTCACAGGTCATTCCTTTACCTCTCCTCCAAGTAAATCTAATTATCTCTAATCCTCTTAACTAGCAAGGGACAATTATCTATTACGTAATCACCTTGACTACAATACCTTTAATCACGAGTGTGCCAAATTAACTGCGTTTGTCTCAGTGTGTGTGTGTACTAGAACTTGTACTATAAATTGAAAAGGATATAGATCGCGGGAGAGAGAGAAGCGGAAACAATAGAATATCGCTGATGTTACAGGCTTTTATAACAAAAAGTAAGCCGACAGACCGAAAGAAATGAATGAAGAAAATGAAAACCAATATCACTGGCACTTGAAAAAATGAAAGAGACATTAAATCGCGGGAGAGAAAGAAGCGAAAACAATCAAATATTGATGATGTTACAGGCTTTCATGGCAAAAAGTAAGCCTACGCAACGACAGAAATGATTGAAGAAAATGAATGCCAATATCATCGGCGCTTGAGAAAATAAAACAATTAATGAGTTGCGGGAGAGAGACAGAAGCGAATTCAATTAAATATCGCTGATGTTATAGGCTTTTATGACAAGTTAGTAAACGGAACGAAACAAATTATTGAAGCAAATGAATGCCAATATCACCCCGGCGCTTGACAAAGTAAAAGAGAGATAGATCGCAGGGGAGGGAGAAGCTAAATCAATTATACATCGCTGATGTTACAGGCTTTCGACGGAACGACCAAAATGATTGAAGAAAATGAATGCCAATATCACCAGGCGCTTGACAAAATAGATCGCAGAGAAGAGAGAAGCGAAATCAATTATATATCACTGATGTTACAGGCTTTTACGACAAAAAGTAAGTCGACGGAACGAAAAAAAAATGATTGAAGAAAATGAATACCAATATCACGGTTATCACCAGGCGCTTGAGAAAATAAAAGAGAGATACATGTAGATCGAAGGGGAGAGAAGCGAATCAATTATATATCGCCGATGTTACAGGCTTTCATGGCAAAGAGTAAGTCGACGGAACGAAAGAAATGTATGAAGAAAATGAATGCCAATATCATCGGCGCTTGAGAAGGAAAAAAAAAGAAGATATAAATCGCGGGAGAGAAATAAGCGAAAACAAATAAATATCGCTGATCTTACAGGCTTGCATGACAAAGAGTAAGCCTACGGAATGAAAGAAATGAATGAAGAAAATGAATTCCAATATCACCAGGCGCTTGGCAAAATAAAAGAGAGATAGATCGCAGGGAAGAGAGAAGTGAATTCAATTATACTAAATATCGCTGATGTTACTGGCTTTTATGACAAAAAGTAAGTCGACGGAACGAAAGAAATGAATGAAAAAATAATTCCAATATCACCAGGACATTGACAAAATACAAGAGAGATAGCTCGAAGGGGAGGGAGAAGCTAAATCAATTATACATCGCTGATGTTACAGGCTTTTACGACAAAAAGTAAGTCGACGGAACGAAAACAATGATTGAAGAAAATGAATGCCAATATCACCAGGCGCTTGACAAAATAGATCGCAGAGAAGAGAGAAGCGAAATCAATTATATATCACTGATGTTACAGGCTTTTACGACAAAAAGTAAGTCGACGGAAAATAAAAAAATTGATTGAAGAAAATGAATACCAATATCACGGTTATCACCAGGCGCTTGAGAAAATAAAAGAGAGATAGATCGAAGGGGAGAGAAGCGAATCAATTATATATCGCCGATGTATACAGGCTTTTATGGCAAAGAGTAAGCCTACGCAGTGACAAAAATGATTGAAAAAAATGAATACCAATATCACAGAACTACACGTGCACTACACTGTGAAGATCACTCCCTGGCCCTTGGCTCATGAATATAACTGTCAGATCCTGAATAGGGGCTATGATAGGATTAAGGCGATTAGCAGGTAATCCCTTATAAGGGATTACGAACAACCCTGTAAATGTGATGTCCCTACTTTTTAAGGGGATGTTTGAGTCATGCATCGTAATTATCATCTAAAAAAACAAGCACGCATAAAATTATATTCAAAGTGATTTACGATAGAACAATGCCATATCAATCTGAATTTCTGAAACATTGTAATTATCTTCTAAAATTTACCGAAGTCTGGATATGCGCTTCAAGAAAATGATGCCTATAGTATCTGAAATACTTATCAACTCAAAATACGAGCATGGAATTTAAAAAAAAAAATCGACAAAATAATGTCAAACTTATCTTAAATTAAGCTGATATGATAACTTATGCAGACGGACGATAACTGACTTCAAATCCAGGTACTATTCCATCAATAAGGTCAAAATAATGAAGCAATTATGTCATCATGAGCGCGAGATTTTGCAAACGTAAGACACGTGAAAAAGCATTGTAGTCATCCCGATTTATCATTGAACGGTTGCTCGCCCTAAATCAAAGCCATTTTATTCGATGCCAATTATGCCCATTGTTAGCTCAAAATTGTTGAGTTTTTACAGGGCTACGGTCTCGCAAGGTGAACATCAGAAGCAAAATCTCATTTTCTGCCAATTTCATAGCAGGACAAAGAGGAAGAAAAACGCGATGAATAGTATAAAAGATAGGGATCCAATTTATCCGGATAGCTACTGCTTTATAAATTTGTTCCCCCTGCTTTTGATTAACCTGCCACACATTTATAATCCCATATAGGAGAACAATGCAATGCATGTATCTGAGCAGCGTCTCTACTGCTACCATCGCATGTCAATCATGAACAGTGGCCTAGCTCTTGTGTTCCATTTTGCAGTACATAATAATTAGTAGCCCCCTGCTGCCAATGACGAGAAACACCTCTATTTTCTCCATGCCTTTAAATATTTAATTTGTAGTGTGTCTTTTTTTATCTTTTGCATCCAGGACATGGCACAGAAAACATGCCTTCAGGAACGGTTGCATGAATTTATTTTTACAGAAATATGCATGTTGTTGATTTATGTTCATTATTTTGTTATTGGTTGCTATTTTTGGTACTAACAACGTCGTTTATAATACTAATTTAACAGTTTTCAAACATTCAACGTTTTATTTTGACATCGTTTTTTTCTTCTTGCCCTGCATTAGAGTAATATGTTGAACATCACTTATGTTTCACTATGACTTGTTTTCTTTGAAACTCTTTGCTATCTAGTCTTTCCGACTTTATTTTAAAATCTTTTGTTGTTTTTCATTATTGACTTTCTTAAGAAATAACTAATTTGTATTACTCGCTTTCTACATTTTCATTCTTATAAAATCATGTTTCGTTCCCCATTAACATATCTTAAAGCGGTAGTTCAGTTTTGGGGTGTATGGGGAAGGATTTGGACTATTCTCAGGACTTGGTGTCTAGTTTTTCTTTGCAACTCGTTACTAATTCAGTCTTTCCAACATTATTTTAATATTTAAGATATTTTGTTTTTCACTATTGATTTCCTAAAAAAATGACTACTTTGTATTACAACCCCCCCCCCCCCCCCCACCCCTTACAGTAAATGCACCTGACCTCATCGAGTCCTCAGAAGAGACGTATTTTTGGTTCTTGGAATTCAATTTAATTCCTTCCGATTCTTCAATTTGTCATTTGGTAATAACGCGATCTGACAATTGACATACTTGAATTACTTGATTGATAAAATTGTTTAGTAGGATGACCAAGTACTTACTTTATGCACTTGCCAACATCAGGCACATCATTTTGTGTATAAAGTGCCTCATCACTTTCTACCAACCTGTATCGTAGATTGATCCGTGAGACTAGGTAGTAAATGTTGGAAAGAGGAAGACATGATATATGAAATAATAAAGGGAAAAAGATGGCCACGAGGAGAATGCCTTTTTATCTTCTAATTAGATCATTACGTGGCTGGAGAACCATCTCTGTGCAATACAATCTGAATTACCGGGAGCTTCGAACGTGCTCTTGATATTGCATAG